TGTTTTTTGTTGTTGCTAGGTTAGTTCTATCTTCTTGCTAGGTTAGTTTCATCAGACCAACAGCAAATAAGTTTTTAAATAATATTTCCATCATATCAGAGAACAAAAGACACAACAGATCACACTCACTACATCTTAATCCTAAATTGGATCATGTCTACATCATCTTGCATAAGGAAGAAAGTGCAGGTTGTCCCTTCTAATATTTCATTTTCTTCAAACATTTGTAGAGCGTCGCCATTCTGCAATGTTTTCCTTCCATCATCTCCATGAGTGATGTTTACCCTGTAAACTCGTTCTTCTACTTTTATAGATGCGCGGTGGTATTGAGAAAAATTGCCTTCAATATGTTCCCTCCAGAAAGACACTGGCATGCGCTACAAGAATAAAGTAATTTATATGTATTATATGTATTTAAATACAAACAAGTTAATTATGCAGCCAGATGAAATTTATTAAACTTACCAAACAGACATGTTGAACATGTGTGGGCTTAATCTTGACATTGAAAGTATGTTGTGGCAGCCGAGTACGATTGTTGCGGTCAATGATTGTGATTAAATAGTCTAGGTTGCTGGTTGGAAGGAAAATCAATGTGAACCAATTTCAATGCCCACTGTAACAATGAACTGACGCCAACCTTCTCCAATTGTTGGGTCGCCACCAGGCTTTCTTATCACAGTCTCGTACGTGCGTCCTTCTATTGTATGTAAAACGCATCTCTGGGGCATATTCTCATCACGAAAATAGCCGTACGTGGATGGTGGAAAGGGCTGCAACATCACAACATATTTTCTTTTTTTCAGTTAAACTGTGCTTTTTATATGTAACAGTGCACTATTAAAAGAAGAATTAAAACAAAGAACTTTACCATATAGTAGCGAACCCTGGGCTCAACATGCTTACTGAAGCATGGCAGTGAGTATACGTTACCGTCATCCATTTCATCCCAGTCATCCATATTTCTGTAGTATGTTATTGAGATGCAGTTCAATAATCAGAGAGAATAGGGTTATGAAGATGTTAAATTAACATAAACGAAGCATATATAATCAAACGTATTATGCAATAGTTATTACATAGAACATGGTGATGACTAAGAGAAAATTAACAGAGATTTTAATTCTTATTATAAAGATTGAAGGTAGAAATTGTAGAAGATTTTCAGCTTCAACTTTGTGATGTATTCTTCTTGGGTAAGGCGGGCGGCAGGAAAGTTTTTAGCTTTTGACAATGCAGTACAGTATAACCCTAATTTTGTCCAGTTTATATGAAGTCAGCCATTACAACTACCCGACAAAAATACACTACTTTTCATATGATTTAAATATTGTTGTATATTTTATTCTATATACTTGCATAGTTGCTAGGTTAGTTGTCTGATATTGCTAGGTTAGTTTTCTAAGGATGCTAGGTTAGCTGTCTGTTGCTGCTAGGTTTTTTATTTAATGTTGCTAGGTTAGTTGTCTTACTTTGCTAGGTTAGTT